ACTCTTTGTGTGAGCGCCCAAGTATGGCCCCGGCTGCGGTCTCTGCCGCGACCCTGCCGCTGCCGCGGCTGCTGGCAAGCGCTCTGATGTGTCTTCTTGCCTTGGCTTTCCCTCTCTTGTCTAACTCTGTCCTGTGATGGCACACTTGGTGTGATTCTCTGGCTTAGGACTGTTCACTGGAACTCTAAATCTGCTTTCTACGCCAGAGTTTGTTCAGATTCCAGCTTCTCCTCCGCCATCTTCCCGGAACCTCCTGGCTTGTTATTGTTTTAAATGCACCATGTTATTTTATTATTTGTTATTATTGTTGTTTCATTTTTATGTTCTTTCCCCTGTGGCATATCACCTGTTGTCACTGTACTCGATTTTGATACCCTGCAGCTTGTATATACATATGCCTAATCTGCGAAGGGGAAGGAGAATAACAAAATGTTGAAACAAGGACACAGAATGACCCATTGCAACAAAGATACCCACAGGATAGTATATTGGAAACAAACTTTACAACTTCAGGCAGCAAGGGGTGGGGGAGTGGAGGATAGGAGTGTGGGAGGTGGGGGAGGGAAGGATAGTAGGAAAACAACAAGGAAGGGTGTAGGTAAGATTGATGGACAAGTAATGTACTCATTGCCTTCCTCATGTAACTGTAACCCTCTGTACAGCATCTTAAGAATAAAATTTCAAAAAATTGAAAAAAGTGTAAAAAATGAATATTTTTCATCTCTGGGAATTTCATTGAGATTTGTATCACTAGAAAAGCCAGTTCCTCACATTCTTTGGATATATGCTCTTCAATTTTGCCTTGATGTGAAGTTTTACTAGAATTTTTTTTAAGTCTTTGGTACCTCTAAGTTCTTGCTGTAAGCTAGAGGCTCCATATTAAAACTTTCTGAAGTCTTAGCCATGCATTTAGCAATGAAGACCTTCCTCTGATACATGTTTGCAATCTGTTCTTGGATTTGATCTTATTCCAGAATCAGTTTTTGTTAGAATTATTGGGAACATGACATGTAAAGAAGATGTAACTAGGAAAGAGGTATTTATATACGAAGGTTTTACTTCTTTGTCATTAATTATATTTAGCTTATCTGGTACATATTTTTTTCATTGTTTTATTTGAGTATTTGTACAAAAGGGTTTAATTTAACAGGCTAATTTTGTGTACTTTTGAAAAGTTAATAGGCAGTAAAATAAAATGAATGCCAGGAAGCTGAAATCTGTCTTCACAGAGTAGGATGAGGATGAAAAGGAAAGAGCAGGGTGAGGAAAGATTTATAAAAAGAAAAATGGTAGGCAAATATAGCCATAAGTAGAACGTTCAGTTGTGAAAACTGAATCATGAACTTGAGATGAGTGGAATAAAGGTAGAAGGGGTGACTTTAATCACATGACAATTTTACCAGCTGTGGTATGTAGCAAGTCTTCAATATGGTTTTCTTTACTGACCTTGAAGCCTCTCTGACAATATACTTTTGGGATAATCATGTTTTATTGAAAACATTTGATGTTCTTTCTTTTCTAGGTCCTTTCCCTTTCTAATAGCCAATAACATGAATTTGGTTTTCCCATTGAGGTACACCCTGCAGAGTCCTGCAAGGACGTGCCTTTAATAATGGTCTATTTTGGCATTTCCTGTACCTGTGTTGGTGTCCTACAATGGTTCCCCCATTGTTATGACATCATTAGGTAGAGGATCTGGTTAGGATCCTGATCATAGAGTTCAGTGTACCTCAACTTCTATCTTGTTTATTATAAGTAGCTGCTCATCAACCCTGAATAAAATACCTTTAAAAGTTTGTATTTCTGGCCAAGGTAGGCAGTGCAAAGAAAAATGATGGGTCCTTCTGGGAAGGTGGCTCAGTGGTAGAGTGCTTGTCTTGCATGCATGAAGTCCTGGGTTCGATTCCTCAGCACCACATAAGCAGAAAAAAAGCTGGCAATGTCACTCTGGCTCGAGTGCTAGCCTTAAGCTGAAGACCTGAGGGACAGCGCCCAGGCCCAGAGTTCAGGTCCCATTACTGGCAAACACACACACACACACACACACACACACACAGAAAAATGATGGGTCCTACCTGTAGATAGTGTTTGAAAGATTTTACTGTTAAGTTTGAGTTGGAAAAGGGACTATAGACCCAGTGAAACCCAATATGATATATCTGAACATTCATGTCTACTAGGAATGGCAATGAAGGAATTACTTTACTCCAGGAGTAGTGATTCCCTTGATCAAATATATAATGTGCCATGTCAGGTCATAGAAGGAGAGATTTTTCTGTCTGTGATTCATATTCAGGATAGACCCTTGTAAGGTCCATTAAGCCTTTCTTTGTTTCTCTAATTTCTCTAAAAGGAGGTTCCAACATCTTTTTGGGAAATCAGAGGAGGGAACAGGGTAGCAAAACTTTTAGTATAGCCCAAGATAAAGGGATTTATTATATTCAAGTTAGTTCAGTCTTGCAGGTTCTTAAGCTTTTGGGACTGGGGTGTAGCTAATACCTTGACGTTCATTACAAAATTAAATATGTTTCCAGCTGTTTCGACTAATAGTTTATGATAATTAATTCCATAAATTCTCTCTATATAGAAATTTACCCTCTTGAGCTTCTTTTTGACATAATTCCCAATATAATAAAATTGCACAATAATTTAAACTTTTACTTGAAGTTTACCTTCCCCCATTATATAATACATATATATCTTATATATAAATATATATCTCATGTATAAATATATAAATATTTATAAGATATATAAGATTATATATAGCTTATATAGCTATCTAAGCTATTCATAATATATATAATATATAAGCTACATTGTATTGTGATGAAATATTATATTCTTTTTTCTCATAGGCTTATAAGGTTAAATGAAACATACTGTTAGAACAAGGTTTTGTTTTTTTCCATCAGAATAGACATAACACCAACTATAAAGGACCCAATCAAATATAAGTGAATTTTCAAAGCCAACACCAAAAAATGGTACCTTTCTTTAAAATTGCAAGGAATTTTGGAAGATGGGGCTGAAACTCTTAGATTTATAGTCTTGCACAACTAATATCACAAGCAGCACTACAGAAAAATAATATCCTGTGCATGGCCCAGAGTTTTGCACGACCTCCCAAATGGGTAGAATTCTGGTTTCTCTTTGTGCACAAAGCATGTACTATAAAAGCTTGTCCAAGGTGCCGTGGCTTCTTTAGATTATGTTTTATTCTCTCCAGTCTTTCAGTAACCAAGAGCCATAGAGCTGCAGCTTGTTGTGTTTTATTACAGGAGTTCACTGAGAGGATTGTGGGGTTGGGAGAGCTGGGGGAAGACAATGGAAGGGATGACATTGATCAATACTCAAAAATGGTAGGTTGAATTGAAGTCCCTTATTACAATGATTTAAAGATTATTAAAAAATTGACAACCAAACAAAAGAAAACAGGCATCTTCCAGATTAAATGTGGCTATTAGCTGTGGGTTTGGTGCTTAGTCTTTCTGTCTCCTCACAAGCTGCCTTCTCTGTTGGATGGACCCATGCAAGCTTCTTGCAGAGATCCTCTCTTCCCCATTGTCCAGCACTTCTGGGTGAGGACACACATGATAGGTGCCAACACTGATACAAGAAATTGTGTCCCTTAAACTTAAATTCAGTCTATTAATTATGACTGATTTTCAGAGAAAAGTAAAGGCCTGATAATTTTGACAGGCAAAAAAGACTATCATACCAAGTATTCTTTCCAGGGTTATAGGACAAGGTTTACATGAAAATCCATCAGCATGGGCTTCCAGATAAATTTCTTTCTAAGGCTAGACTTCAGAAGCCATGGCTTTTGAACAACTTGTTGCCACAGTCTGTTGGCCAGAATGCTTCTTTACACTCATCATCAGCTAGATGAACAGAGAATAAAGGCCTTTCCTGGAACAGTGAGAAAATCTTTCAATTCTTTCCCATGGAGAGTTGAGACAAGAAAGATAGAACCAAGGGCAAGGAAAACTTGTGAAACTAAAAGGATGCTTGTAGTTAGAGGTTAAAAATACAATTGTGAGCATATTTAGTTACCTATAGGCACAAAGGTATCTGATATATGTATTGTCAATCCTGTGCCAGTTGTTTTCCTTCAATAGTGGAGTTTCTGTGTTCAGAATTTGGAATTTACTCAAAAACAGTGAGGTCAGCAAATTTCTCTACCCCTTGCATTATCTGAAATGACCTAAGCCGAAGTCTATAGCTATCAAAATTCTTATTCACTCATATGTCTGTTGAATCCAGCCATTGGAGGATTCAACATGTGGGTTTCCTCACACTATGATGGTGGTAGATTCTAATGGTAAACTTTCTAATGAAAGGCAGTTTTCATTTTGCTACATTTTCTAATTTAGGGGGGAAAACCCAGCAGATATATCACATTTCTTTATTTCAAAGTAGTTACTAAGGCTAATTCCTATTCAGAGCAGGTAATTTCAGAGAATAAATTTCCCACATAATTTCCCACATATTTATAAGTATATAAATGTGTCTGAGAGCCATGTCATCAAACAAGCATATGCAAAAGACAATGCTTCTTCACAACTTAAAACCAATGAAGTCCCACCAAAGTTTTCTTGTTGTTTTTGCCTAGAATGCTCCCTGTTTTTATGGCAAGAATCAGATGATAAGAAAATAATGTTATTAAATGTGGTTGATTATGTTTAAAAGCATGTGTGGATCATATCATTGAATAGTTATATTGAGATGCCTAGCTCTCCTTACTGAGACTAATTCTTTTCTTCCATGAAATTTTGGTTAACATAAAACACTAGAAGATTTTAAAAAAGGCTAATGAACTCAAATATCAAGTATCTTTACATAGCTATCTTTCTTCTAAGAATGGAATTATAGTCACTTAAGAAAGAAAATTATGAAACAAATATAGAAAAAAATGTGTAAAATAAATCACAAGTGTTTTTAACAAGTATAATCAGTGTAGGGATTGTATTTTTGAGATTTTGGATGGTTTGGAATTTGTTGATTTTATGAATAATCTCCACCAAATGTGGTAGAGATGACATATTATTACACGCCATTTTTAACCTATATTTTTTGACTTTAATTAGGCTATTTCCCTTGTTATGTATTTCCTTTTTTAACACCTATAATCCCTTGTCGTACAGCTTGATGATGTCTCAGAGAAACTGCTTTTCAAATCTACAAAATATGAACAGCTGGAAGAGGAAAATAAGTTTCTTAAAGGCCAGTTGTTACTGTCCATAAAATCTCAGCAAACAATATGTGAATCACAAGTGGAAGAAAAAGCAAAACTGAAACAAGAATTACAAGACCTAAAAAATCAAAACAAGAGCTTTATGAAAAAACTGGCTGAAGTAGAACAGTATAAAAAGCAGATCAAAGAACAAGCCAGACAAGAATTAACAGAACAATTAAAAAAAGTCAACTTATTTTTGCAAGTGAGTATTTTTTATCTCTAATGAGTTATAATTTACTGGAAACTATATTTTGGACTTATACATTTTGTTTCTTTGTAGCAAATTGTAAATTTGTTTCTCCATTATATATTTCAGTTTTCACCACTATTATAAGTAAATTTATGTTCAGAATATTCATTTTCATTAGAAAGTCACTTAATTTTTAAGATTATTTGAAATAAAACCAAAACTCCTAGAAGGAAAAGAAAATTTTGTTATGTAGAAATTATAGCATGCTCTTGGAATTGCATCAAGTTACAATCTAAATTATTGATTGGTTTCGTTATATTTATCAGGTATTTTTCAGTACTATTGTAAGTGACACAGGAGTATGTACCTACTATGTATAACACCTAAAATCACCAAAGGGACAAAATTAGATTCAAATATTTAAGTTTTAGATGAAATATAATTTAAAGAGATGATGAATAGTTTAAATTCTAACACTAGTTCTCTGACTAACAAAATTCTATGTGTAA